TCTGTGGATCAGCGCCCCGCCGTGCTGGCTCCCTGGTGAGGTGACGTCCGCCCTCCTCATCAGCCCGCACCCTCTCCCCGCGGCCCCCAAACCGCCCTCCCGCAGCCAGATGGGCAGTGGGGCTCTGAGGCCTCCGGGCCTGGGTGACCGAGAGCAGGGCGTTCTCCGCGAGGGAGGGGCTGCCATGCAGATGGAGCACGGAAGGCTGGGGAGGGCTTCCTGGGGGACAGCAGCCGGCCAGGTGAGCAAAGAGGGCAGCGTGCTCTGGCCGGGGGCCAGCCTGAACCGAGACTCAAGTGCGGCAGTCACCAGGGCGGGTCCTGGGAGCACGGAGTCAGGCCCAGGCAGCGTGAGAGCAGAGGGCAGGACTCGACCTGCGCAGTCTCCCAGGTCAAGGTGACATTCTTGAGAGCCAGTCCCACTACCTGCCCAGGAGGCTGCTGCTCCTGTGGCCTCGCTGGGCCAGGGCAGGGARGGGCAGAAGCTGGCAGGCCAGGGCCCCAGAATCTGCCAGGGTTGGCATTTGCTTCCAAGGAACCCTGTCCCTCCACAGACAGAGCCACGCAGGAGGCCACCGAGAGCCAGGCCCTTCTCTGCCGCTGGGCCATGTCACTGATGTGTGTTAGAGAGGAGCAAGAGGGCCGAGTCCAGGGAATCACGTGGTCTGATGGGGAGGGACAGCGGCGTCCGTGCATCTGCTCAGAGACGTCAGCAGGTCCTCTTGCCGTCCTCTCGTTGCCACCTGAAGCGACTGCCTGGTGACAAGTCCGTCCTTACTGGCAGAGGAGCCGCCTTGCCYGGGACAAGGGTGTGAAGGAGCCACTCGTTCCTTCATTTGTTCAGTACCAGGAAGCCCGCAGCGGGCAGCGGGCGGGGGGTGGCCGTGGAACTGAATCGAGACTGACCTGCTGACCTGCTGGGGGCTCAGAGCCGGGGGCCAGGAGCACTCTCTGGGGGAGGTGTGTTCTTGTCTTAAAGGGTGACGGCGTCGAAGCCCAGGGCCTGGGATCTCTGCCAAGAGCTCCCCCCACACACAGAATCCTCCATCTGACCCCCTCCCGTCCTCTACTCCCTCCCTGCGCCCCCCCCCCCAGTTTCCTGAGAGCCTGACATTCCTGCAAACAGCCCCGTCTCCACCCCGCCCTCAGCCCCTGTCACCCAGGCCTGGAACAGCGGGCCACAGGGGCATCCGGGCCAGCCCCGGCCTGCCACACAATGCCTCGCCCTGGGACCAGGGGAAGTCATTGCACCTCCTCGGCCTCGAGCCAGCTCCAGGCCTCGGGCAGGGAGGCCAGGATTCGGGGAGAGGTCTAAGTGGCCATCAGGGAGGCCCCGGCACGAGGAAGGGCTGGGCCCATGGAGGAAGGACGGAAGGCAGCCGGGAGGTCAGGGCGGAGCCCAGCCTCAGACGCACCGTGGCCGGCGGTGGGAAGGGGGAAGGGCCTCAGCCCCCTGCCCCATGGTCAGAGCCAGCGGAGACCCAATCCCAGAGAGCAGACCTGGCTTCAGTGGGCACCTGCGGACACTACCTGTCCAGGAAGCAGGAGAGACRACCTCCCCTGCCTCTCCTCGTGCACAGGCCGCAGCAGTGACAGTCTGGGAGCTGGGGACGCTGCCCTTGGCGCTCGCCTCAGGGCTCAGGCTCAGGGCTCTTCTGCTCCTTGAACTTGGCCCCTGTGCCGCTGTGAACCCTGCTTCCTTGGCTGGAGTCCAGGGAACTCCCTCTGCCTTTTCCTGCGTTCAGGTCATGTGGGCCGGCCCTGTCCTGCCCAGAGAGAATGACCGGACTCTTGCTGCTTGGGGGATGCTCTGCAGCTGCTCACATACGGTGCCTACAGCCAGCTCAGTTCCTCCAGGAGACCCTACAGCTGAGGGCGCTCCCTTCCCTGGCCCCTGGCACAAACAAGTGGGGTGCCTGGGCCCCTGGGCCTTCCAGGGGTCCTGTGGCTTCGTAGCTGCCAGGCAGAAAGTGGGTAGCGGGACCTGATGCAGAAGGGTCTTCYAGACCCATGAAGAGAAGGCTCAGGGCAGGGCAGGCAGAGAACAGACGGAGACCTTTCTGCTGGGAAGTGGGGTAGAAGACAGGCCCGACGGTCGGGATCTCTGGATGTTTGGGCACAGGTTTGTCTCCCAGGACACTGGTGGGTACTATAGGCAAGATCAAGGAGAAGGCCATGCCGGGCCCTGGCCTATAAAGCCATTTGATTCAGTGACGGGAAGGAGCACMGGCCTGGGAAGCAGGAGACCCAAGCATTAGTCCCACCTTTCACTGGTTTTGACAAGATGCAAGTCTTTTAGAACCTCTGTTTCCCAATGCACGAGTGCATGTGAAAATGTTTTGGAAGCACAGAATATTATCACAGAGAAAGCAAAACATAGCACACATACTGCAACTTGCTTTTGCTATGCCCAGGGCAGGCATTGCTAGCCGATCTCGGCACTTTCTCACTCAGCTACGTTAGGACCTCACCACCCTTTGGATGCATCATCCAGGAGCCGTCCCAAGAGATCAGAATTGTGAAACAGGATGAAACGCCTGTCCTCGTGCTGCACAAGCTCAGGCATTATTGCCAGAGGTGATCCTCCCCGGTTCAGATGTGGCTGCTAGGAGCCAGARTTGGTAGAAAGCCAGAAGTGGCCCTGCCAACGCGAGTGGCCCACAGACACCTGGCATTCTGGCTCAGATCGGTTACGGATCGGTTGTCAGTTTTGCAGCCGGGTCCAAAGGCTGGACCGGTATTGGCCCCACCCTACTGGAATAGCTAAAGATTCACGGTTGCATCCCGACACCTCTGGGGGTCAACGATGCAAACCAGAGCATGCCCAGAGGACAGGCCGGACGGTCGGGCTCTCTGGACTGAGGCACGCACTCCACTGAGAGGGCTTTGACCCAGCGCCGTGGCTGGCAGCCCTGGTTCCTCTTTTGCCGACTGCGGTTCTCTGAGCAAATCTTAGCCCAGCCCCCAGCACAGCCAGGCCAGCTGCGGAGGGTTCCAGCTCCGCCCAGGAAGTCCTCCTCCAAGAGGCAGGGACTGACAGGACAGGACCCCTGCAGCCCCTCGCCCTGCCCCTCTTCCCACCCCACTCCCTGGTGGTGGCTCTGTGTCACCCTCTGGCCGGGGCCCTGGGCTGCTGAATGCAGGGGCTGCTCCGGCTAGGCAGGGGTGAGGGCAGCCCCAGGACCGGTCATTTGAGAGGCAAGTCCCAAGGATCCCTGCTGGCAGGACACATCCTTGAGGCCCCAGGGCTCCTCCTGCTTCCTTGGAAGCTCCATGTTCAGGGCCCTGCCTGCCCTGTCCCCACAGCCACCAGAGCAGGCCTCTTAGAGACACCACCATCCTGGGTGACATGGCGTTCCAGGGCCCTGCCCCCCACCCCTGGCCGCGGCAGGAAGGGTGTCCATAGGGCTGTCACAGGCACGGCTCGGGTCATGGATGAGACGGAGCCTGGAACTTAGAAGTCAATGTCACTGAAAACAGGAAACCGCGGAGCTGCGATGTGCTCACTCGAGGGTCCCCAGAAGAAGAGACAAGGAGCCCCACGGGAGGAAGCTGGGCAGGAAGCACCGCGGCTGCTCGGGGCCGCCCTCCGCACAGCAGCAGCCCAATTCTTAGAAGTTGCTTCTGCATTAAGGTCCCGGGTGGCCCAGGCCAGCAGCCCCAGGGGGCTGGGCCCCACTTCCTGGGCTGGACCATTGGAGTCTGGCCGGAGGGTTTGTCCTTCGACTCTAGGGGCAGCACAGCCTACCCCAGGACAGTGTCTTCCCCACTCCTGCCCAGTGGCCCAGGAGCTGTGAGGACAGGGCAGCTGCACTGAGTGTCCGAGTGGAAGAGGGGACCCTAGGGACAAAGCAGGTTTTGGTGTCCTGGTCATTTGAGGTATCAGTCCTGTCGCAAGGTCTGTGCTTGCTCCCTCCTCGGGTTCCCCAGGCCTGGGACTGTCCCTCAGTCCCAGCCACAGGGGAGGCCCACAGGGGTCGACGCCCTTCTCCTGACAAGGCTGCTTGACTGGGCTCCCTGGCCAGGGCCTCCTGCTGCCTGCTGCGTGGCTGGTCCCTTCCCCCCATCCACCCAGACCTCTCCCTGCCTGMAGGCGCCATAGTCCTGGTTCTCTGCACCCACGTCCAGCTCAGCAGAGCCAGGGGACACTGCTGGAAGACAAATGCCTAGATTGGAGCTCTGCCCTCCATAGCGCCCAGACCAGAGGGGCATTTGCTCAGCCCAACCTACCTCCTCCCTCTTTTCAGGCACTGCCTACCCTGTTGTATCCCAGAGTGACCATGTTCCTCTCCTCACGTGCTTTAAAATCCCTCAGTGGCAATTCCACAAAGGACTCCCCTTGTGTGCATGTATGGAAAAAAACCAGCTGGGCCTGGTGGTGCCTGCCTGTAAACCCAGTGGCTTGGAATCTGAGACAGGAGGATTGCAAGTTTGAGGCCAGCCTCAGCCACTTAGCAAGGCCCTAAGCAACTCAGCGAGATCCTGTCTCTAAGTTTGAAAAATCTATTTWAAAAAAAAATGGCTGGGGATGTGGCTCCGTGATAAAAGTGCCCCTGGATTCAATCCCTGGTACCACACCCCCTCCTGCAAAATAATAAAAAATAAAATAACCAGATCATGTCGGGGCACGGAAGATGGAGGCTGAGCAGAGAAGAAACAAGCTCTTCTTTGTACTGCCCCCACCCTCCCACTCGGTGGGGCACCCATCATGACTGGATGGAAGAGAAGACCAAACGCCAGGGCACAGGCCTCCCTAGGCCTCAGGCATGCCGGAAGCAGAGGGGGTTAAGCCCCGCGTCCCTGGTCCATTCACAGGGTTTGCACCTATTGCCCAGGCCATTTTAATAGCACCCCCTTTTCACAATCAAAAGTGTCRCAGTATGGACGAAACATCGTGTGGCCACCCTCACTACTAGCCATGCTGAGCAGTGGGAGCAAGGGACAGGGAGGGTAGGTAGGGGTCCCACTCACCTTCCCAACAGGCCCCGCCCACCCTCCCTCGCTGTCATCCGCGGTGAGTGGCGCAACCTCCGGCCCAGCCTCAATTGCTCAAGACACCGGTGGTTCACAGGGACCACTCTTCCCCAGTAGGCACTTCCCATCTGGGGGCCACTGAGGACCRAATGCTGGCAGTGGGCGCCCCACATGCACTTAACCTGTTGACAGATCCTCAGTGACACCGCTCCCAGGAGGCATCGGGGGAGTTCCGATGACAGGGAGGAKGCAGCTCAGCCTCAGAGCCCCACGGGTGCAGAGTAAGGTCCACAGAGGGGCAGCCTCAGGTGACACAGGGACCCAGGCCAACCACGGCGGGCAGGAGTCTCTCTATCTCTTATCCTGCATCTCATGCCTGGGACAGTGCCACTGAGGGCCCAGGCCAGTGTCCACCTCGTCCCCTCCATGCCACCAGGTCCCAAGACTCTTGTCCCTAGGCAAGAGGCCGCTGCAGCACTGGAAATTCTGGGGCTTCTTAGGATGGGGCTCATTTGGCACCTGGTGAATGCAGGTCTCTGGGAGAATCCGCACCCCAACCTCCTTGGGACAGGAGTGGGTAGTCCAGCACCTTCTCCCCTGCCCAACGCAGCTTCCCGACTGGCCGAGGGTCCAGGCGTTGCGGGTGAAGCGGAGTCTGGGCCCAGAGCAGGAGGAAGGGGGCTGRGGACACTCCCAGGGCCAGCCCCGGCTCAGATGCACCTGCCCCAGCCCCAGCCTCTGCTGCCCACAGGTCTAGATGGCCTCGAAGTTTGGAGAGTCAGGAACCGGGTCTGCGAAGGACAACGGAGGCAAAATGAAACGGGGTGGGGGGGCACTGCTTGGTCCCTCAGCCCCGGCCCAACCATGAGCCGTGAGGACTCCCCAGGGAGGTGCCCGTAGGCCTTGGGTCAGAGAGCACTTACCCAGGGATGGAAAGAAGACGTCCCCAGGGCCAGGAGGAGACAGGGGAGTGCTGGGCTCGGAGAGGAGGTGCCGTCCAGACTCGGAAGGCTGACGCTGGGCCACGTAGGACAAGGGGGGCCGGGCCTTGGCCTCAGGCATCCCCTGGACGGGTGGAGAGGCCTCAAAGCCAGGGTTTTCRATTCCTTGGATGTTGCTGCCAGCGAAGCAGAGTGGAAGGTCACCTGCTGCCCAGAGCGTGGCCTCTGCCCTCCCTGCTGTCCCCTCTCCTCACCTCCTGTCCCCTCTCCCAGGCCTCGGCAGCCTCTCCCAGCAAGCAGAGGGGCCAGGCCTCGCCCCCTGCCTGAGCTGCGGGCCTCAGGGCCACTACCAGCACTGACCACAGTCCCTCCTGTGGTCAGACCCTCAGGACACAGGCAGGCAGCTCCAAACCCCTGCCTCAGGACGGAGGGGACACGTTTCTCTTTGGTCTGAATGGCTAATGGCCTTAGGATCAAAGGTACCCAAAGCTTATTTGGGCTGAGAGGAAGGTTCTCTTGTCTTCTGAGATGAGAAGGGCCCTCAGCCTCTGAGCTCCTGGCAGGATCACCATCAGGACCCGTATTGCCCTGTCTGGGAAACCGTCCCTTTCCAACACTCAGGAGCTCTGGGTGGGGCTGGGGGCCAGGCTCCTGAGCGTGGCTCCTGCCGGAGCCCAGCTTCCAGGCCCAGCCTCCTGCCCAGACCRCAGCACCCCCACCCACCCCCCAGCTGCTGTCCCCCCAGGCTCTTCAGTGTCTGCTCTCCTGCCTGATGGCCACAGCTTGCTGCGGGAGGCCCAGGTGGCAGGAGCCACTGCCCAGGTGTGGGGCTAAACCTGGGCCCACTGGCCTCCTCTGCATGTTCGGTGTGTGCCCGGGGTCAGCTGCTCCCAGGCCGGCCACCAGGGCCCAGAGGTGGGTGTGCAGACCAGAGCTCAGCCCGCGGGGTGAGGGGTGAGTGACAGGTGGGTGACGGGGAGGACACCCAGCCAGCACAGACGTATCAGCTTCTCCGCCCGMTGCGCCAGCACAGAGCCCACCCTCCCACAGCTGGCCCGGGGGTCTTCCCTAGAAAGCATCCAGGGGCCTTACCTGTCCATCCGCACCAACTCCTGGGCACCTAGGGACAGAAAGAGAAGCCGGTCACAGGAAGGAAGGCAGCCCTGGTGGCAGATGCCCCTCGGGAACTCCAGGAGTGTCCCGGGCAGGGCCCTGCTTGGCCCAGGTTCCACTTCTGTGTGGCAGGACGCCCATGTGTCTGTCCAGCAGGTGGACCCCCGTGAGTGGCCCATTTTGACTATAAGTGAAAGTCTGCGATTTCCAAATGTGGGGGATGACATTTGCCACCAGGAAAGCAAAGGGACCAGCACCGTCTCTTGTGGCTTGGCTTACAGTGTGGGACCCTCAGGGTCTGTGTGTCCACCAAAGGCCTGGCTCCTGGGTTTGCTAACTGTGGTTTCCTGTTTGGACATTTGTCCCCTCCTGGTCTTTAGCCATGACCTCTGGGTGGAGTACTCAAGGTCAGTTCCTAATTAGAGGGTTCCTGGTTCTCTCTGCCTTGTCCCCCGGTTACCTAAGAGAGATGACATCTGTTAGAGGAAGCTTCGGGGTCTGAGCACCCCGCGTCCCAGCCACACTGAGCTACTGTGGCCTTGCCTCACTTCTGGGGTTCCCCAACCCCCAAGGTGGCCACCAACTAGATGCAGGAGGCTTAACTTCCCTCTTTCTTAGGCTCCCCAGCGCAGACTCCTCGTCCTTGTCATTCTAAGGAAACAGAGGGGGGTGGGGGAGGGGTGCCCCTGCAGCACAAACTCAGGGAAGTTACACAAAGTTCCTGAAATCTGTCAGCACCATGCCCTGTTTACGGGGTGACTCCAATAGAGGAGCACGCCGCCCCCCCCCCCCAGACAGCATCCTCCGCCCAGAATGCGTTTTTATCCCAGTTCCCCTGTGTGCTGACCACACTGCGCTGGGGTCTGAGGGAAGGGACAGGGGCTGTCTGGGAGCCGGGCCAAGCTGGGYGGGCTCCCCCTCACCCCGCCCCGCCCAGGGGAGGGCAGTTCAAGCGGCTCTGCAGCCACCCGCTCCTCCTCCGGGCTCTGCTCCTGCTCCAGCCCCAAGGTCTRTGCCACCCAAGGCCAGCCCCGGCTCCCTGTCAGGAAGCCGTGCGGGCTTTAGGGGAACAGGGCAGGCCTGAGAGTAAAGGCGAGGAGGTCACAGCCCCCAGGTGATCCACAGCCGGGCTCCAGGCAGGAGCCCCAGGAAGGAGGACAGGGAGCTGATGCAGCCAAAGGTGTGACCTGGGGACAGCAGTGCTCCCTCAGGTACCCTCTGCAGCCAGGCAGAGGGGAGGTGGCTGGGAGGGTTGCAGGGACAGAATTCCCCACCCTCCTGCTCTGGGGAGGACTGAGGCTGGCAGAGGCTCCSGCGGGGTCAGGGAGGGCAGAGGCACTGTTACCCAGAATGGGAATATGAAAGGTGTTCAAGGCCGTGAACTTGAAGCCTGGCTTCCCCGCTTATTTGCTGTGTGGTTCTTTAGGCAAAACACAACCTCTCTGAGCCTCAATTTGCTCACCTAAAAATGGATGAGCAAAAACAATGGTGGCACCGAGTTCTAGGAGTTGTTCTGTGGACTAAGCGAGACAATGTACGTAATAGGGCTGGCAAGGAGCCGGGCACAGCAGCCCCATCAGCCGGGTTGTTGGCTCTGATGAGCATTTGAATCATATGGTTAAATTACATCCCCTGGAAAGAGCAAGGGTGCCCAGCTCCAAGGCTCAGTCCCAGCTCTGCCCCTCATTGTGACGTAGCATTTGGTTAGTTCTCCTCCTCCTCCTCCTCCTCCTCCTCCTCCTCCTCCTCCTAGGGATTGAACTCAGGGGCACTCAACCGCTGAGCCACATCCCCCGCCCTATTTTGTACTTTATTTAGAGACAGGGTCTCACTGAGTTGCTTAGCACCTCACCATTGCTGAGGCTGGCTTTGAACTTGGGATCCTCCTGCCTCAGCCTCCCGAGCTGCTGGGATGACAGGTGTGTGCCACAGCACTCGGCTTCGGTTAGTTCTTTAATTCATTGATCTCAGACTTCTCCACAAAAGGAAGGGCTTCACTRAATTCATCTCTAAGTCCCCTTCCACTTCTAATAAAACTCATTTTTGTTCCCGAAATTGCTACTACTTTTAAAACAAACCCACCCTTACATTAAAACAGATCCCCAGAGGATCTCTGGGTGGCRCCACTTTTAGAAATCAACACGAGCTCTCCCCGTTACCCCGAGACTGGTCATTCCTTCATTCAGAACACAGTCTTGGTGAGCACCAAGCCGGCACTGCCTGGGGGCCAAGTACCTGGCAGGCACTCGGGCCCCAGAAAACAGGTGCCTGGGTGTCCTCCTCGCTCAGCCGCGGAGCCCAGCCAAGGGAGGGAAAGGAACATGCCTGCCTGGCACCTTGGAAACCCCAGGACCTGGGCCCAGTGGCCACTCCCCGCCCTGCCCCGCGGGCACTACTCACGGTGGTGGGAGGCTGCCTGCTTCTGCTTGTAGACCATGAGCAGGATGAGCGGGAGGCACAGGATGCCCACTACGCAGGCGCCCGTGGCCAGGGCTGCCGCCGTGATGTCTGCAGGGGCAGAGAGACAGCCAGGGTGAGGCCCATCCCACTCCCCTCCAAAGGGACACTGCTGGGAACAGGGGAGCCTCAGAACCGCAACGAGGCCCAGAGAGGAAAGGCTGGGCAGCCGGGGGACCCAGCAACTCTGTGACCTGCAGAGGCACCGATGGCTGGGAACCCCCTTCCAAAGACACCTCCCTCCTTCCCAAGGCGGGCCCAGGCTCAGAGACAGACAGGCCTGAGGCTCACAGCTGAGGCAGCTCCAGGAGACAGAACAGGCTCCTCCTCCCGCCCACCAGGGAGAGCTGGACCTCCCTGGGCCACAGGTTGTGCCCAAAAGGGAAGCAGGGCCAGGTGCGGTGGCCCAGGCCTGTAATCCYGGGGGCTCGGGAGGCTGAGGCAAGAGGATCGCGAGTTCAAAGCCAGCCTCCGCCACTTAGTGAGGCCCTGAGCAACTYAGTGAGGTCCTGTCTCTAAGAGAAATATAATAAAGGGCTGGGGATGTGGCTCGGTGGTTAAGCAACCGGGTTCAATTCTGAATACCAAAAAGTAAAAAGGGAAGCAGGCCTTTCACAGACCCCGTGCCACAGGGTTCAAGGTCAAAAGAAGCCCAAGTAACAAAAAAAGTTTCAGAAGTAGAGGTGGTGGTCTCACAGGATTGAGAATGTAACTCAGTTGCATGGCATTGAATTGTCCCCTTAAAAATGGAAAAAATGGCACACTTTTTGTCCTAGATGTCTAACCATGATAACAATAAAAAGCCCTAAGCCACCCCTGGAGGGACCCCATAGCTCTGGGTCAGGGATCCCTGGAAGCCCCCCYTCGTAACCTCAGGCACACAAGTCATGGGAGGGGGCCAACTTGGAAGGAGAACTAGAGAATTGATAATCCTTCTCTGACATTTTTAAACATTGAGCTTTTTAAATTAAAAAAAAMAAACATGCAAATTTAAAAAATACTCAGAAGTGTCTTCCTCCCTGTGGAGCTGCACGGTCCCTGTCCGCCCCTCTAGATGGTCCCTGCACAGCCAGCAGACAGGGGGTCCTAGGACCCTTGCTCTCCCGCTCATCAGAGCCGGAGCATCTGAGTACAGAGATCCCTCGCCTGCCCAGGCTCTATCACACACAGCTCCCCCAAAACTTATAGAGACATGTCCTGCTGGTGGGCATGGCGGCCGCCTGTTCCTTCTGCAGAAGGACTCCGTGAGCTTGCATCCTGGTCCCCTGGGAAAGGGCATCGAGCACATCAGTTCCTAGCCAAGTCCTGAGCCAGACTGTGGTGTGTGAGTTTTCTTTTAGGCGATGGCTAAATCGCCCTCCAGAAGGTTCTGCCACTTCCCGGTCCCAGCAGCGAGGGGAGGTGCGATTTATTTCAGTCCAGCTGCTGACTTCAGGGGTTCTGCTGGGAACAGGGGAGCCTCAGAACCGCAACTAGCCGAAGGGTACTTCCTTCTTATTTGACCAAAACAGCTGAGAGACCGTGATCTAAATGTTGCTCTGGGGGTTCAGTTGGGAATACAGGCCATTTTTTTTTTTATCTCTTTGTGTGGCCAAACAACCCAGCGGTGTAAACAAGCTTGCAGGGGGTTGTTCGCAGGGCGGAAGAGAACAAAACTGTTTTCAAGCGCTTTAGAAGTGCTCTTCTGYACAGGAACAGGGGCTGGGCTCCTTACAAAGCAAGTTCCGCTCCACACTCGAGCGGGCTCCCTGCAGATTTTAGCAAGGCTGCATTCTAACGTGGAATATTGAAAGTAAAAGCATTCTTTATAGAGTGATCTCAGGCCATTCCRTGTTTCTAAACCCCATCCAAGGACCTTCTTGTGGGCAATATCTGAGAAGCTGGTTGCAAAGCACTCTCTTCCTGTCATCAAAGCAGGGCTCCTCCGATGTTAGTAAGCAACACCTAGTGTGCTCCAACAGGTGCTCAGGGACTCTGTCCGCCTGGGAGGCTAGGCGGGATCTCTCTGCCTGACTCTCTTCTCTAAGTGGAGGTCCCCCTCTGGGGCCTCTCTAGGAGATGAGCATTGAAAACCTGAGATTTCCTTACAACCTGTGCTGAGAGTTGAGGCTGGAAAAGAGGGGACAGGTCTGTGACTTTGGGGACGGGTCTGTGGGCATCTCTGCAGAGCCCAGCCTGGCCACAGTCCCCCATCCCTCTCCCCATGCACCACCAGTGCTGGTACCAGCATTCACTGGGGGAGCTTAGTCACCATCCAGGGTCAGGTTCACCCTGGGGAGGTGATGAGGCTCTGGCAGAGGTGGTCTCCACCCCCTTGCTAGGGCGTATGCCAGGCCCTCGTGCAGCAGGGTGGGGCAGGAGGGCCCGTTGGGCCGGGGTCTGCCGGATTCCTGGTGGTGTGTGTGGAGGAAGGAGTGGGCTGCTGTGGGTTGGACTGCCTGGTCCCCAGGGAGGAGGCTGGAGGAGGGCAGCCGCAGCCCACCTGCCGTGTCGGAGAGGCRGGGAGGTGCAGAGATGCACCCGGAGCCACCTTCCCCGGTCCCTGCTCCCCGTCTCCTGTGACTTCCTCCCCACTCAGGTGACTTGGACTTTCACTTATCTCAGGGTCTAGCTACTCCCACGTCCCAGGAATAACACTTAGAGCCCTGGGCCAAAGCTAGAGAAAGGGAACTCAAAGAACTTCTTGGCTAGAAGATTGGCTGGCCGACCAGGGGCGGCGGCTGCAGCACCCAGTGTCCAGTCCTGGGCAGTGACGGGTTACCAGGCAAATGGCTCTAGGCCCCTCAGGAAGCAGGACTGTGCTCTCTGCCTGCTGCCACCTACTTGCCACCCTGCCTGGGCACAGGGGGTTGGATGAGTTGACTTGGAAATCAGGCATCTAGGAGTAACAGCAGCCACACCTACATTACCTCACAGGTAATACCTCACTGTGTCTCACAGAAACCCTGGAAGGTAAGCACTATTCAAATCATCTCCATTTGGCAGATAAAAAATAAATAAATAAATAAGGCCCAGAGAGGTCGAGCAACTGGGCTGATTTCAGGATCCACGCTCTTAACCACCTCACCCCCGGCCTTTCCCTAGAATGGACTCAGGGAACCGCCCTGGCACACACAGTTTTGTTAGTTGTCAACTTTTTAAAATTGAGAGAGTCCATACAAAACCTGGTGTCCAGCTTTGCCGAACCCTCAGCTGCTCTGGCACACGCAGCGGGAATGACCCCATGGCTGGTGGCGGGTGCTCTCCCCAGTCCCCACCCCTCCCTGCTGTCTTCCTCACCAGCTCCTTGGCCCTGGAGGCACAAGAGCTTTCCATCCCTGATGCAGCCCCTGAGATGACCCTGACTACCTCGCTGTTAAGGAAGAGGACCCGGCTGCCCGATGGCCCAGGGTGAGAGGGACAGAGCTGTTCAGTGCCACACCCGACCCCAAGGCACGGCCAGAGGCTTCTCATCTGGAGCCTGCTCAGTGCCGGTGCCCACCGTCTAGACTGCTACAACCAAGGGAGGAGGAGCCCCAGGAGTCCTCAGAGCCGTCCCCTGCCCCCACAGCTGTGACAGACGCCAGCGTGTCCCTTGGACCCTCAAGGAGCCAATTCCCTGGACAGCAGCTCTGGGAAGCAGGGCCTCAGGGAGGCTTCACTGTCTGAAGAGTTAGGGACGGAAACGCCAACACCCGGGGTCAGAGGTGCCCAGCGGTGAATGCCTGACCGGCTCCTGGCCGTCAAGTCCAAGTTCTGCCGGGCTTCCCGGGCCTTCCCAGACGCCTTCCTCTGCCTGCACTCCGCCAGGTCAGGAGAGAGGACTCCAGCCTCCACCCCCTCACTAGCCTCACCCCCTCGGCATTCCCTCTGGGCTCCGGGTCAGGGAGCAGGAGCAGGGCCCCTCCCCTGCCTGAGCCTCCCTTTCCCCAGCTGTGGCCTGGGGGCAGCGGTGGGCCGCCCGGCTCCACCAGAGTTTGTGGAGGAAGAAGTGGGCCTGGGGTGTACTCAGAGTGAAGGAGCTGTGGGGAAGTGAGTGTCACTCATGCCCCACCGGGCTGGCCACCCTGTCCTATCACAAGCACAGCTGCGTGCACAGAGTCCTGAGCTGCTGCTGCATGGGAAAGTGGCCCCTCAGAGGGGAAGTGAGGACAGAGCTCTGCAGTGTGCCAGGAGAGGGGCTGGACCCTCCTGAGGTCCATGGAGGTCTAACTCACCAAGTGCATGTCCTAATTTTGCTTCTGGTTGGTGTGTGTTTGTTGTCTTAAAAAAAAAAAAAAAAAAAAAAAAGGTAGTTTTAAGCCGGGCTGGTGGTTTACACCTGTGATCCCAGCAACTGGGGAGGCTGAGGCAGGAGGACCGTGAGTTTAAGGCCAGCCTCAGAAACTTAGCAAGACCCTAAGCAACTTAGTGAGGCCCCCTCTTGAAATTAAAAAAACAAATAAAAAGGGCTGGGGATGTGGCTCCGTGGTTAACTCCTGAGTTCCATCCCTCGTACTGAAAAAAACAGGAAAAAAAAAAAAAAAAACAGAAAAAAATGGGTAACTTGAGTCAAAAGCCACCACYGCCTTTGAGTTGGGGTTTGCCTGGGGGCTGTAGCTTAGCTGTGCCCCTTCTGACTCAGGCCCTCCTGCTTGTCCTCCTGGAGACCAAGGACACAGTTTTCCCTTCTGCATCTCCGGGGCCTAGACAGGGGCTGGTCRCCACAGGATTCCTGATGAGTGCTGGGTGGCCAGAGGGTCTGGAAGCCAAGGCCCCCTCCTCTCAGAAGAGCAGGACATCCCTTAGACTTGTCCCCTTACCTGCTGTCTCCAAGCTGCTGGGCTTTCTCACCTGACCTCTGGGTGCTCAGTCACCAGTGACAGCAGTGTCCCCTACCCTGAGGCAACTGTCTAGGTAAACACTGCATCTGACAGCCACTCACTGCCCTGCATGTCCAGTCTCCTCCCGCAAGGTGGGAAGAAGGGGACATGCGCAGAGCTAAGCAAGCTGTAGCCAAATCTCTGCTGTGCTGCCTGAGCTGTGTGTTTGGGCGGGGGTGAGGCACCTCTCTGGGCCTCTGTTTCCCTGTATGTGGAGTGAAAAAGGTGAGGCCTGATTCACGGAGGAAGCGGTTCCTGCAGGGAGCAGGGAGCAGCTGGAAGGGGGACGGGGACCAGCTCCTATAGCCAAGGAGGAAGCAAAAGCTCTGGGAGCCGCAGGGAGGAAGACGGGATCCATGTGCATGTGGAAGTGAGGCCAGAGTTGAGAGCCCAGCCTGGGCTGAGGACGCAGGAGGACAGAGGACAGAGAAGCAGGAGGGACACCAGGGTGGTCCTTACTTTCGCTCTCCTGTGGGGAGGATGGATGCAGGACACATTTGGATGGCGTGTCATTGCCTGTGGGAGGGAAGAGAMGGGCCATCAGCTGAGTGTCACACCCAAAAGGCAGAGCAGGCTTGTCTAAGCCAGTGTCCCCTCAGCATACGTCACGGGTACATGTGCTGCAAGCTAGCGCCCTCTCRGCAGTGCTGGCCCCATCGGAGCACACACCCTGGCACACCCTGGCATGTTCTCACCCTGCTTGTTCTCATGCCACCCCCGGGGACAAGTGGGGACCTGCTGGCACCCGCACTTATCCACCTCCCAGCCCTTTCCTTCTCAGCTGGACAGACACGTGCGTGCACACACACAGCTGCTCAGCCAGCCACCACTCACACCCAGGGCCCCTGTCAGTCAAGCTGTTGCCCACGCCCTCCGTGGCCACGGTGCAGTCACCCTGCCAGCCCAGGTCCGTCCACGAGAAGCCACAGACGCCCTCCCTCTCCCCCTCTGCATCACACCCGCTTACCCAGGTCCACACCCCCCACGCTCAGCCACTCCTTCCCACGCTCACTGTGGCACCAGCATCACCGGTATAGTCTCCTGTATAGTCCAGGGCGGTGCTCAGCAGCCCGCGCCCCCAGGCTACGCGCACAGCTGCCCTCACCTCTCTGCACCTGCAGCTCCATGGCCCCGTGGACCCTGTGCTCCGAGTGGTGGTGCCTGAGCTCCACCACCAGGCAACAGTAGAGGCCACTGTCCTCCAGGGTCAGGTGGCGCACGGTGATGGAGAAGTTGCCGTGGTGGTCGGAGGCCGACTCCACCCCATGGCTCTGGGCCAGGTCGTGGCTGGTGTTGGCGGTGTGGTGGTCCCCGTGGTGCAGGTGAAGGTTCTGGAACGTGAGGTTGCGGATGGGTCGGCGCTCAGAGCAGACTTGCATTTCGCCCCTCGAGCTGCGGTACCAGGTCTTGTAGAAGGTCACGTCGTGCCCTTTGGACACAGGGCCCACRAGTCTGCAGGTGAGGGTGACGTTCTGCCCTTCTGGACACACGTACAGGGAATATGGTGTGGCCACCTTGAAGGCTGCCACCAGACCTGGTCAGAGAAAGGACACCTGTCACCTGCCTGAGAGAGTGCCAGTCCCCCAGCCTCCCCTTGGTCATTAGTACCGAGCGCGTCCCCCCCTGGGGGAAGGAGCCACCTGAGCCCAGCCCGCTGGTGTAGCGCTGAGAGTGGGACCAAGAAAGGAGAGACTCTGGGGCAGGCAGAGACCGGGCAGCCGGATGTGACCCTCTCCTGGTGGCTTTGCCCAGGGCGGCCCCTGCACTGCCAATCTTTATGCTCAGCACTGCTTCATGCCACCCTGCTGGGGGCCATCTGCCCCTCTGCCCCTTCCCACCTCCTCCCCAGTGGGCACTTATTATATGCAAGGCCAGTGTCAGGCGCTGCGCCTCACCTGGACGCCAAGCATGAGGCCTTTGGGAGCCAGTGGCCTCCCCAGCAGACAAGCCTGCGTCCCTGGCACGGGAACCCCACAGACAAGGGTGAGCCGGTGCCAGGCTTCGGGGCTCTTGCAGGAGAGAGAAATCAGCCTTCTGGGGGTGGTCAGGGCACTTCTGGGAGGAGGGAGGGTCTCTGGACTTGATGATGGACAGGCAGGATTTAGCAAGTAGAGAGACCCTGACGGGGAAGCCGGAGAACCCAAGGCGACGGAGGGACGGGGTGGGGAGCTCCTCCCTGCCTCCGCCTCCCTCTGGCCCTGAGCACCCCGTTCTAATCCTTCTTTTCTTTTTTTCCAATACGCACTCCTGGTCCTTTTTACCCTACCCCCCTTKCCCCCCAAGCACTGACTTTTGAAAGCAAAACTGGGGAAGGGTCTGGGGAAGGGTCTTGTCCTCTGTGTGGCTGAATGAGTCTCGGTTTCCTCATCTGTACTGTGAGAAAACGCTCGCTCAGCCCAGGGCTGCARGAGGGCTGCTCGGGAAGGTGAGGGCCCCTGCGGAGATCTGTGCCCTCTGCAGACACAGGGAGGGTCGCTGTGTCAGGTCAGCACGGGGCTGTGTTGTCCAACTGACCCCTCGGGGCTGCTGTAGGCCAGCAGCCAGGAAGGCAGGGTTTGGAAACAGGTTCAAACAAATGTGTCCCTTCACTGCCCCGGCTAGGGGCACTGCCTAGACCCAAGGAAATGCCACTCCTCCTCCAGGTGCCACTTCCCTGACCCTAGAGTCCAGCACCATCCGCCAAAGGCTGGGTCCCCACCCCAGAAAAGCTGAAGCCTTGCCCAGTCAAGAGGGAGGCAGCCTGCTGGGGCTTTGGGAGGGGGCCAGCCTGCCTCDGAGTCCAGTAGCCATGGCCCCGAGCCTGACTCTTTACTGCAAATGGAAACGTCTCCCTGGTGGACTGGAGTCAAGGATTAGTAACAGGTGCTCTGAAAGTGGCTTCACAGTAGTTGGTGCTTGATACAGGGGGCTAGATAGTTCTCTGATTCAACTCAAGAAACGTTTCCAAGGAGTGGGGGTGGGGTGGGGAATGGAATAGAGAGTCCAGCTTTGAACTCTTTCCCACTACAGTGTGAGTGACTGACAAAGGCTTGAGACCCCGTCCTGGAGTGCTTGTGTATCTAAAGGGTGATATCATCCATCGCCCGCACGGTGGCACACACCTATAATCCCAGTGGCTCAGGAAGCTGAGGCCAGAAGATCTCGAGTTCAAAGCCAGCCTCAGCATCTTAGCAAGGCCCTGAGCAACTCAGTGAGACCCTGTCTCTAAATAAAATACAAAAAAGGGCTGGGGGTGTGGCTCAGTGGTTAAGCACCTCTGGGTTCAAATCCCCGGTACCAAAAATGAATGAATGGATGGATGGATGGGTGCATGGATGGATAGATAGATAGAAAGAGGAGAGTATCAGGAAATAGCAAGGCCTTGGTCCCAAAGCACACATCTGCAGAAGTAGGGTGTTAGGCTTAGAAGGTAAAAACAGATACACCAGGGCCTTCCCCGTGCTCTGCCTCTATGTGAGAGCCAGACTTCTGGAAGTCACTGCAGGGTGAACAAAGACATCAGAAATTCTGGCAGGATTCTTCTCTCATTTACAGACAGTAGCACAGAGATCCAGGGAGGAAACTGGTTTGACTGAAGTTTCAGAAGGTATGAACTCAGAGCCTGGAACATGGGGGGCTTCAGGTCAAGTGGGATCTAGTTACAACTGTAAGAAGAATAGCCTGTTGTGCTGGAGGCCCAGGGCTCTGGGGCAGAGCTAACAATCCTGTGGGGTAGGTGTCGGGTTTGCTCCCTTTTCACCGATGAGGAAACTGGCGCATGTCGTAACTCACTGAGGATCACGCAGCAAGTGCTAAAACCAGACTCAGACTCAGACACTTAGACACCATACCGCCGGAAAATCGCCCAAACTGGAAGCCCACAGGCCTCATCCAGTCTTCAAACATTTCATTAAACCCTCCAAATATCTTAGATTATTTGTTTTGAGATGGCTAACATTTAAAATTCAGGGATTTGATATGGACATTCTGATTCGTAACGCATTCCTGTGAAAACCAGGCCACGGAGTCAGCTCCCCGGGAGGCAACGGTCCCCATGGAGCCCCCGTGCTCCGGCTTGCCACAGTCCTCACCGCTCCCGAATGCCTCCACCTGCTTCACTCTCCCATCATACTTGCTTGGCTCTGTGGACATTTGATTTGTGACACAGGATTACAGCTCCCTCCAGGAGCTGGCCAGGGTGGAGCTCGACTGCCCCCGCCCATCCATGTGACCCTCAGGCTCAGACAGGAGCCGAGAGCAGAGCAGGGAAGCCCAAAGCTGAGCGGGGCCAGAGGATGGACGGGTGAGCCCAGATGCTGGCTCCGTGGGGAGGCCGCTGGCCAAGTGAACAGGCAGGGGGACAAGGCACCAGTCGAGAGCCCTCAGGGCCCAAGCAGTGGTGTTCCTGACCCCAGGGCTGCACCAGGACAGTGAGGAAGGCCTTGGCCTCCCGGGAGGCACTTTCCTTGGAAACCCACARGGGGACAAGAGGGACTTCAGGAGAAGGGGCATTGCTCAATCCCACACCCCCCCACTCCCCCCCATCCCCCCCCCCATAGGTCCCAAAAGGACCTCTTCCCCTTTTAGAAAAAAAGGAGAAGCTGCCCTGGGATTGGGGCGGGGCGGGCGGGGTGGAGGGGTGGGCGGGGCCAGTTTCAAGCCAAAGTCCAGATGGGGTGGCCCAGGAGGGCTTTGTCCTGGGGCCTCTGGAGGAGGCCAGAAAGGCTCCAGCTGGGACCGGCCCAGAGGGGCCTGTCCTTGGGAGGACACTCCAGGACACAGCACTGGGGACAACAGCACACAGCACGGGGTCTAGCGCCCTGCGCCTGCGCACCCCTCCTGTTGCAGGCTGTCCCGACCGCTGGAATCGTAATTACTTGGCAGGAGGATGTTGCTCATTGTCAGAAGCAGATCCTTTTGGACACCTGGGTCATTGTCAGAGACCGGGGAAAGTGGGTGGGGAGGAAGGCCCCAGGCTCCAAGGGGGTCCAGAGCCTGTGGGACAGGAAGGTAACCGTGCCTGGACCTGAGCGAGTGCCAGGGGGAACCTTCAGTCAGTCATCTCACCAGGCCCTGGCTCCCAGGAGCACCTGCAGGAAGACAGCCATGAGCCAGGAAAGTTCCGGAACTTAGCAAGGTCCCTGGGTCCCAGTGCCCACTTAGCTGTGCCCTCGCTGTGTGGCCTTGGGCACCTTCTCTGGGCTTCCCTCTCTTTATATCCTCTTTAGAGACTCTGCACATTCCAAGGTCACCTCCACCTCCAGACCCTGTGGGCAGGAGGGACAGACCAAGCTGTCTTGTGACCATTTAGGACATGTTAGGCTCTTGTGGAGCTCATTCAATTCTCACAATACCCCCTAATGTGGGTATTATCATCCCTACTTTAAAGATGCAGAAACAGACTCCGAGAAGTCAAGCCACTGGCCCAAGGCCACACAGCCCTCTGTGGCTGAACTGAGATCCACGCCTTAGACACCCCAGCTCTTCAAACAGGAAGAGCCCCCCACCCTTCAGTGGGTGGAGCTGACACTCATCTTTTAGCTATTTGGAAAGAGCTGACCCCTGGTTGAACCCTTTACTCACTGCCTCCGACCTGAACAGAAAACATCTTTCTTTCATTCCACAAATATTTAGCAAGGTCCTAAAAGGAGCCCCAGGCAGAGAGACAGCTTCTCGGGGAATTCAGCCCTGGGTCGGCTGCTTTCTGGCTGGGCCCGGCCACAGGTGGAGCTCAGCCTCTGGTTAACAGGGGAAGGAGCGCTTTCCCTTGTCTCCTCAGGGTGCCAGTGTGGGTGACCTGGGTGTCTTTCCACCCGGCAGGCCCCTGGAGAGCCCCGCGGGTGTGCACAGGGCGGGTGGTGGGTGGGTGTGGGCAGCCTTGTTTTTTCCCTGACAGGCTAAGCCCTGCCCACGCCAAGGCAGCACCCTCTGGAGTGGTCCCGGCTTGCTCAGGCCGAGAGGCCCCACCCACAAGCTGAACTCCGCCCACTGCCGAGGCCCCACCCACACGGCTGAGCTCCACCCACTGCGGGGGCTGTAGAGTAAACAGCTATTAATCGCCTGCTGTTGCTGGCGCTGCACTAGATGAGAAAGTTCTGGTCCCTGGCTGCACAGAGGCCCTACAGATCGGGGGTCTGGCGTTAGCTCCTGGCCAGGCCCCACCCTCCAGAATGGCCACGGTGGCCGAGGCAGAGCTCTGAGGGAAACAGAGGCAGAGGCCATCAGGATGAGCCTGCCGGTCTAGAAAAGGAAGTGCCCCAGGGCGAAGGCCAGGCCCTGAAGCCAGCAAGTCTGCCCAGGGGGCTCTCTGGCCAGCGAGGACAAAGGGCATCTCAGATGTGTTTATTGATACCTGCCCCAGCAGGAAGTGTCCATTCACATCAGACCAAGGAGGCCGGGAAGGGGAAGCCAGGCTCTATGGGAGGAAGCCACACTTCCAGCCCCTTGGGAACCGTCCGAGCATCCGGGGCTGAGGCTCCTGGTCAGTGGGCCTCCCCAGGGAGAGCCTGGGCGGGGGGCCAGAGGCCTGGCTGGGATGGATGAGCCGTCCCAGACTTCAGGGGCTTCCCACAGGGGGTCTGCGTGAACAGGACCTCAGCTCTGGCCTCCCCTTAGGAGCCACGCTGTGAAAAGTCCCCATTCAAGTCCCCTAGACCCCCACCGTCCACCAGGGCAGGAGGCTCGGTGGTGGTAGCAGTAGCAGCCCCTTTGTGCTGGGTGTGGCTCTAAGAACTTTGAGGTGGACTCGCTTATCTAATGTCCCCACCTGAGGGGCAGGTGCTGGAAGCATCTCCATTGTGCAGCTGTAGAAGCTGGAGCACAGAGAGCGTTTGGAGCTGGCCCAGAGTCTCACAGCTGGCCAACTGTGGCAGGAATTTGAAACCGGGCCTCCAGAGGCCTGCAGCCCTCTGATTACTCTCTAGAGACCAGGGGTAGCCAGGGACTGACTGAAGGCCCCGCCTTCTGCCCCCAGATGGACAGATGGTCTGGCCAATGAGGGCTCAGCTTGCCTGGCAGCATCTATAACTTAAGGTAGTTTTACTTTTGGTTTTACAATATTGAATAACATTGAATCATACAGAGAGAAAGTTATTCCCTTTTCAATTCTCTCCCAGCCCTTATTTCACCAAAGAGAAAGTCCCAGTTTAATGCCACTGTGTCTTTTCAAAACATCTCTTGCTGTAAAAGCTGATCTCCTTTCTTCTGCCTCCTCTTCCCCCCTCCTCCTCCTCATTATCATCATCATCAATATCATCATCATCATCATTATTATTAAAGAGATAGCAGCAGGTTTCAAATTCAGAGCCTTCCCCTGACTAAAGTTTCCAGCTAGAATTTAATACCTTTATTTGGTTTTCCTATTATGTGTTTCTATGATTTTGTTCTAYTTATGGCAGATGATACGGGCTTTCCGCTTATGACAATGATAAAAAGTTTCCTTTAAAATCTACCTGCTCAGACAAAACAATGAGTAGATTAAAAGGGGGCGGGGAGCAGACAAGACAGTAGGCAAGCACAACCGAAATCACAAAGGGGATGAGAAAACGGGCTCAGGAAACACCAGCATGGAATTACCCTTCACTGAGACCAAGCCACCCAACCTGCCCACTGCACAGCCCAAGGGGAAGTGTGTATTTGGGATCCCACGATGAGTGACTAACAGCAGGACTTAATCTCAGGTCCCCATGGGAGAGCAGAGCCTAGGTAAAAAGGCTAAAGGAGCTGAGCTTGCTTGGTCAGTAGCAGAAAAACTTCATTTCCTGAATTGCTGATGGCCAACATGGTGGCCATTGTCTTTCTCTCTGGGGATGGTCAGACTGAGCACATGGACTAATGAGGAGATGAGATACAAGCAACATCCCACAGAGGTACGCAAACTCTAGACCAGGCTCACCTTGAAGTTGCCCTGTCCCCATCTCTGGAGGACTTTAAAAGGAGAACCTAGAGGCACCTCCATGGACATTGCAGAATCCAGGGACCTCTGGATGTCTGTGGGTGGCTGTCAGCCTGGGCACCCTTCAGACTCCAGGACTCTGGAGAGTCCAGTCCTGGCACAACCAGCCAACGCCTTCCCGTGCTCTGCACKGCCCCACAGGTGGCAAGGAGCTGATAGACCACCAATGGCAGATGGTCCCCAGAAACCGAGGAGTAATGTGTCACACGGGATTCACAAGGATTGGCCTCCATGTGAGGTCATCTGCTCATCGGCTCTTTAAGCGCCGCATCTGAGGGAGGGGCTGTCACACCTCCATGTTAGAGTCGGGTGACTTGGAAGGGGATGCTGGGGATCTTGCCTGATGTGACAGAGTGGCAAATGGCTTGGGATTTGAGCCTCAATCTGACTCCCAAAGCTAAACTGCTAAGCGAGGGCTGTCTGGAAACTGTGGCATGCAGGACCCAGGACCCATAGGGTCCCTGGCCTCCCCRTTCCCACTAGGCATACCATCAGGAAGGCCACTGCGATGCCAGAACTAAGGCGATCCATGGGGCATCGGAAAGCACAGAGACAAGGCTGACTCAGCCTCCTCTAGATCAACCATTGGCCTAAACCTGCCCTCGGGCTCAGCACATGGGACTGGGTCAGCACCAGCAGGCCGCATGGACCCCGAAGGACCCTCTCACCCTTTCTCCTGCTCAGGCCTGAGATCTCACACACGGCAGGGAGGCAGGTGGCCTCTTTTTATGTCTCAGCAATGCACCACCTCCTGGGCCTCCCTCTCCCAGGAAGGTCACAGAACCTCTGCCCTGCTTGGGACAAACAGGAGAAATTAGCCCAGCTCAACTAGAGGCTCCCTGGTATTTTCTGGCCCCTGGGTATATCCCCTGGCATAGGCTAGATGCCCTCTCGTGCCCACAGATTGGCATTCAGGCTGTTCTCTATACTCTGGGGCCTCTGGGCAGTGGGCCATGGATTTCCTAAGAGTTGACCACTGCTGTGTCAGCCTTGCCACATGGGGTTACTCAATGAGCAGCCATGTTTACCATGAAGGGGAAGATGGCCGCCCCTCCCTAGCCCTGATGCACCCCCGCCAGTTTGATTGTGTTGGTCCCAGAGTTTGGAACTGAGCCAGCCTGTGAGAGTGGAACAAGGACAGCACCTTCCACAAGGCCTGGGAATGCCTATGAGGAAGAAGAGGTGCTGGCACCCCTGGGGTCCTGGCTCCCAAGGTGCTCCCTCCATCCCTTCCACCCTGCATCAGGCCCATGAAAGGAGCATCTTCCATGGTTCTTGGGCTCCTGAGCCCCTTACTTATCCAGAACTGGAGCACAGACCTGCCCCAGCTACTCCATCTCCCCTGCCTAGGCAGAATGGCTTTACCGTTGAATGATCCTGCCCAGGGCAACCCAGCACCTCGGCAGAATGGTGAGCATCTCAACACCCAGACCCTCCTGGAGACCAGGGTGCACCTATCCCCTGTGTGACCTTCCCCCGCTACACAGGCTACTAGGTAGGAGGAGAAATATCCATTAGCAACTGTGCCTRTGTCACAGGTGAGACTCAGGCCAGAGCCATGAAAGGAGACTCTCCTGACGCCATTCAGTGGAGCCCTAGCTGTGTTCCTGACTGGTCCCAGGGGGAGACAGCCCTTAGGTGCACCAAGTTGTTTGAGTCGCCAAGACCTCTGGGAGTGAAGGCTCCAAGCTATGGAGGCAAAATAGGGTGAGGGGTTCCGAGGTCCCCTTGGGGCCTCCCATTACTGGATGTGCTGCTAGCTGAGTGGCTAAGCCTGGTTCTCTAGGACTCAGTTTCCCAAATTGGGGCTGGGAGCAACCCAGCCAAGTGAGGGGAGGGCAGAGCAGGTGGTCCATGGTGGGTAAGGTGCTGGTCTTCCTGCCTGCCACCACCACCCCCTGCTCCTTCTGGAAGCCATATCCTACCATGAGCAAAGGTCTCGGTGCCGGAATGTACCATTCCCTGTAGCTCCACTCCCCCACCCTTTGGGTGTCATCTTGAAGAATATCCAGGCTGGAGCTTAGGCCACTCTGGGGTTGGGCTCCCGCCTCCTTATCAGAGGCCTAAGCCAGGCTTCCAGTGCTAGATAACAAGCCACCCTCAAACACCCCAACTTGTTTCTGGGGTGTCTTCCAGGTTCTCTGTCTCCTCCTCTCCCTCTTATCCCATCTTCCCCCTTCCTTCTCTTCTTCTGACCTGCCCATTGGGTCTCTCTGCCAAGCCCTCCACCTCCGTCCTGCCTCCCTCTGACTCTCTCCATGACTCACACTTTCCCCCTGCCCTCCCCATCACATTTGGATCCCCAGGCTGCCTGCCAGCCCCCTCCTCCTTTGAGTTTAGTCTCTTCAATTCTGTTCAGTCAAGAAGCAAGGACCAGGCTGTGGGTCCCAGGGCCCTGGCCCCACCCCCAGGAGTCCCTGTGTCCTGGCCAGGACAACATCCAGAGTCCTGACAGGGTGGAGTGTGGAAGTGTGGGACTTCTATATCTGAGTTTAGGATACTGAGGCCACAGAGATGCCATAAATCAACCGAGAGGACCCAGAAGGGGTTCTTGCTGAGTTCAGGGAGTGTCCCACATCCTCCCTAGTAGCCACAGTGATCTGTGAGCAGCAGCCTTGCCAGATGTCAGGAATCTGCTGACACTCTGGCCCTCAGACCCTCAGAATAGGGACCAGGTGGGTAGAGCTGTCCTGGAGTGGACAGTGCCCACCCTGACCAGTGTCCACCCAGGCTCAGCCAGGAGTGTCACCAGGGCACTGGCTGAGAGTTCTGGAGCTCAGAGGCCAGAAGGGCAGGGAGATGCTAGAGCTGTCAAAAGCCATTCGCCTTCACTAACACAAACTGGGGCTGCCTCCACCTTGTCCCATCCCTGTCTTGCAGAAGCTCCTTGTGCCCTTTGCCCTCTGGGTGGAGAAGGGTGGGACAGGCAATCCTCAGGGGACAGTCTTGCCGGCTGCCTGGGCAGCTGTCAGTGTGCACATGTGCCCAACACCAGCTGGAGCACTTGGCACCCTGCCCAGTGGTCCCAGCCGCCTCAGTGCAGTGGGGTGGAGGTCACAGCAGGTTGAGAGGACTCTCGGGATTCTCCTGTTTTGCCCGTGTCACTCCCGTGACCTGCGGTCCTCTCTCGGGGCTCCTCCCCAGCGCCTAGCTGCCTGCGAACCTTACCTCGGGACGCAGCCAGGAAGAGAGCGAGAAGCAGGGGCCCCCAGCGCCGGCTGCCGGCCTCAGGGACCGGGGGGACGCCCATGTCACCGCGGGGCAGAGCGGCGTGTGGCAGAGCGGGGCGGAGCGGGCGGTGGGCGCTCGGGATCACCGCCGGAGCGCGCTGCTGTCGGGGCAGCCTCCGGAGTGAGTGCGGAGCCGGCGAGCAGCGGGCGGCGGGGCCAGGCGGCTCCGGGCCCCACAGCGCCCCCGGGGACCGCGGGCGGCACTGCATCCAGAGGGCCCCGCGGGAGGAGCCTGCGCTGCCCCGCGTCCCAGCCAACCCAGCACTTGTCGTCTGGTGTAAAGTCCTTTGCACTGCCCCAGTGCTTTTAAGAGATTATTACTTTGCACAGCCAAGAAGGAGCCCTCGCCTCACCTGGCAGGATGGCGCGATTACATAGTTTGTATCTGCCCTCACCTTCCTGCCTCTGACAGTCTCGGGGCAGGACTTGTATGTACCCTGCATCCTCCAGCCCCCCGGGGCTCAGCTCCAGGGGTGGGATGGTGGTGTGGATGACAGATGAAACCTGCCATAGGTAACACGCTGAGCAGTTGGAAGCGGGCTTGACTTAGCTTCAGTGGATGCCTGACATCCTCTGTCCCTGGACGTGGGTGCACGCGGCAGGTCTGAGAGCCACAGCAGGCTCTGCCAGCTCTGACTGCAGGTCACACGCGGGATGGGCACTGTCTGCCGCTGTTTCCAGCAGACTCTCATCCAACTCCCTCCCAGGCCTAGTGCCCCCCCACCACCACACACACACCCGGTTCTGCAGCAGCTGGCACTCCTGACCCCCACCCCCACGTCCACCTCTTCTGGCACTCTCGATCCAGCCCTGACCACCACTGCAGATGTCTCTCATGCAAATTTTTCTCGTCCCTCAGGGCTCAGTCAGGTCCTCCCTTCACAGCAGGCCTGGCCCTACCTTGAGGGCCCTCCAGGCTTTGGCATCCACACCCACTTTGCCCACCACCCGGGCCTGAAGTGCCAACCCTGTGGCTTTGCTCCTGGACTCCTCCACTCTCTCAAGCTTGACYGTGAACTTTAGGGGACCTGGGCCTCCTCCCCTGTTGATTCTGCGTTCCTGGCACAGGCCAGGCGTGGGGGCTGTTTACCTGAGGGACACGCCAAGGAGTGTACAGGACTGCCTGACCAAGTGGCGGCGATGACTACAGCGGGGACCAGGGGCCGCAGGGGAGGAGGGCACTGCTGGGGTGCCCAGTGGACCCCAGCCCCACTGCAGCTGCCCGAGAGATTGCTGGCCCCTCAGAGATCTTGAGCTCACAGCCGACCCAGGCTGAAGGAGAAGGACAGAGTCCAGCAGGGTCAGGAATCGGGAGAGTGGGACAGAAATTGTGGGTGACCCATGGATGGCCTGCCCCAGTCACAGGCTCTCTGGGGGCTCTCAGCCCTGCTCCCGGGGCAGGGAAGGCTACAGAAGAGGAAGGGTAGGGGGTGTTTATTACCAGGTGTCCTTTTACAGGCCCAGACCCCTCGACCCAGGGAGCACCTCTGGGATGGGAGCCCCAGAGGCTGCCAGGACCTAACCCAGGTCCCCTGCTGTGATCATGTCCTTGTGATCCCACCTGGGAAGGGGGTCCTGGCCCTTTCTAGTGGCAGAGCATGCGTCCTCTTCCAGCCGAGAAGGACCAACTCAGCTGAGATCAGGTGGGCACGGGGCCCTCTTCCACTCCAGCCAGCCTCTGGCAGAGTGAGGTGAGGTTTGCAGAGCCCTTCCCCCCTCTCCCCTCCCCCCACCACACTGCCCAGCACTGAACCTTCTGCRCTGTGTCAGGGTAGGGCACAGAGGTATTGCCCAAAGTGTGGGCCTGGTCCAGAAACCTCAAGCACTCTTGCCCCGACGCCAGGGCAGGGAGGAAGTACTCAGTCGGAACAGCCTCTGGGGGGGCCCCAACTTCCTGCTCACTCCTGAGGCCAGAGAAGGTCAGACCACCTTCCCAGGGCTCAAGGTGGAGCTTCTCATGGTGGTGGGTCTGCACAGCAGCCCCCACACAGCTGCAGCCTGAATGCAGTGGCCTTCCTGGACAGTCATCTTTGCTCAGATATTTGGGGCCYCCACACTCAAATCCATTATGGAGAAGGATGGAAAGTCCATCTGAGCTTTCAAATAAGACAGRAGAGATTGCAGGAGAGTTTCAGGATGTGTCCCCCAGAGTTGGTGCTTGTCCCCCTCTCCACTCAGTTGAAAACTGATAAAATAATGCATTTCCCCCTTCTTACATGCTTGCTGTTTTAATAAAGATTCCCACAGACTCTAAGGCCCMAAAAATGCCTCCTGAGAAGGGACTCGGGCCACATGACTGACAGCAGACCAGTATCCGAAGAGACTTTAGAGGTCAAAGTGGTTCCTTTATTAACAGACAAAAAAGGTTCAAACAGGGGATGCAACAGGCTCAAGGTCACACAGCTCCATTTCAAGGTTGCCAGTCCTACCTGTTTTAGGAAAAGCTGTCCCTGAGAGCCATAGCTACAGGTCCTAGGAATCATCACCTTGTCAGGGGCAGTGACAGCCCTCTTGGGTTCAGGGACCCTGTCCATCTCTCTAGGCCTCCATAGGTGGCTCCAGAGTCAGCCAGGACCACGGAAGAGGTRGCACACACATTGTCTAGATTCAGCTTTTGGTACGACCACCTGCTTTCCGTTCTCTGACCTTGACCATGGCCTCCTCATATTCTCTCACTAGGGCATCTTTGCAGCTGTCATAACCAAGATGTTTCAGATGAGTCACTAGTAGTAGTTTATATGGGTCAGGATCCTGGCAGCAAACAGATGGCACTCATAAAGGGCTCAACTCAAGAGAGTATAGTGGACGCCCCCAGACACCAGCGAGCACAGGAACCCCTTAGCACCATGTGTCCCTGTGGAAAGAGGAGGTGATATTGCTGGAGCCACCAGGAAAAGAACTGGAGCTGTGATGGGGGTCCCCAGCTAGAGACCCAGAGCCCCAGGCAGGGAGGGCCAGAGGGAGGGTGGAAGAAATCCCCCCACTCCCTCTGCCCCCCTCCTGTCTTCTGCAGGGGCTTCTATTGGCCAAGCCCACCTGGATGGCATTTAGCAAGGCAGCCTGGTAAGGCAGTCCACAGGGACCACCCCCCAGGGACGGCAAGGTGGAGAATGGAGTGGATGGGGCCAGGGATGAGCAGTAACAGCAGGAGGCTAATCTTGGATTTTTGTTTTCGCCTGCATGTAGGATGCCCCATCAGCCATTTCTTCTTACTGGTACACAATGATTGCACATAATGGTGGGACTGTCACATATTCGTACATGCACACAGTATAACAAGACAATCTGGCCGGTGTCATTCACATCAGCCACCTCTAGTAGATGTTGAGTGCTGAACACTCAGTGCTGATGGGCGGAACAGTACTTGTGTTCGACTATGATCCCAAGCATCAGCTAGAGCTGGCCAATCGCAGCACTAGAAAACTTGCCTGGAAATCAWATTCTTTGAGTTTTATTTTTCATGGCTCAACAAATTCTGCTCATGAAATTTCCCCAAACCTAATGTCCTCCCACTTCAGAATGCTAAAAATAAGGCTGGGCATGATGGCACACGCCTGAATCCGGATGGCTCTGGAGGCTGAGGCAGGAGGATCTCACATTCAAAGCCAGCCTCAGCAACKAAGCAAAGGCCCTAAGCTACTCAGTGGGACCCTGTCTCTAAATAAGACATAAAAAGGGCTGGGGACGTAGCTCAGTGGTTAAGCACCTCTAGGTTCAATCCCTGGTACCAAAAAAAAAAAAAAAAAAAAAAAGCTATAAATATTTCTTCCACTTACATGAATAATACATGAGCCTTAAATACTGAATTATAGCTAGTGCCCCACATTCTTGTCTCTTATTATCTGGAAGGAGACCCAGGGTCAATAAGGCCCTGGCCCAGGCAAGACTCTGGGTTGGGGTGACAACTGGGGTGCATCAGTGTGCCAGTTTTAATCACAAGATCACTGTGCTGACGAGGATCCCAGTCTTGGTCTGGCCTCTTCAGTGCTGTGGTTGATTGGTGATGTCTGCCATGARCCTGGCCATGAATGTGATGGTACAGGTGCCATCTCAGCCCTAAGCAGTTGCCCAGCTGGATCTTGACAGCGCCTCTGTGCTTTCTTCCTCTACCAGCCGGTGACCTCCCTCCCTCTCCCTCTCTGTCCTCCCCATGTTGGATCACACTGAGTTCAGTCCAGGAGAACAGCCCCAGGCCAGGGCACCTGACGGGCTCTTCTCCACAGGCCACCACTCATGTGTACGTGACCATCGTGGACGAGAACGACAACGCTCCCGTGTTCCCGCAGCCTCACTATGAGGTGCTGCTGGACGAGGGTCCGGACACGGTCAACACCAGCCTGGTCACTGTCCGAGCACTGGACCTGGACGAGGGGCCCAATGGCACCATCACCTATGCCATCGTCGCAGGCAACATCCTCAACACCTTCCGGATCCACAGGCACACGGTTAGCACCGAGGGCCGMGTGGGGCTGGGAGGTTCTGCAGGGGCTGCTGGGAGCTCCCCGGGGTCCGGGAGAAGGCACAGCCGGGTGGGAGGGCTCTCCATCATGGCCAGGGCCCCCCTCCTGGGCGGTCAGAGGCTGCTCTGGAACTGCCGTCCATCAATCCACCCTCGTTCCGTCTGTCCATCCCTCAGGGAGTCATCAGTGCCATCAAGGAGCTGGACTATGAGATCAGCCATGGCCGCTACACCCTGATTGTCACCGCCACAGACCAGTGCCCCATCTTGTCCCACCGCCTCACCTCTACCACCACGGTGTGTGGGTGGGACCCGGGACCCAGCCCCCCGCCCCAGTGTGGAGTGGGAGGAAAACAGGCCCAGAAAGCTGGAAGGGGGAGGGGCTGGGAAGACTGTCCAGGGGAAATGGCTAAATCCAAGAGTGCTGTCCTGCTCTTAGCAGCCCACCCAAACTAGCTGTGTGACTTTAAGGAGGTTGCTAAAACTCTCTGTGTGACTCCACCCACAGGTGAAAACACTCACCTTCCTCCCCTTCATGGGAAAAGCAGGAACCCTGGTTAAGCCAACAGGGGTTCAAACTCCTGATTTTTCACTTCCTTACTGTGTGACCCTGGCCAAGTCACTTAACTTCTCTGAGCTTTGATTTCTTCATTTATGAAAGAGGGATTTAAACAAACAAAAA